TGCTGACATGCGGCCCTACAACTGGAGCTACTCCCAGTTCTCCCAGTTCAACCAGGACGACTCACTGCTGCTGGCCTCCGGGGTGTTCCTGGGGCCCCACAGCAACTCCTCCGGCGAGATCGTGGTCATCAGCCTCGGTGAGCGCTGGGCACTGGCCACCCGCCCGCCCCCACTGCTTCCCAGACGCCTTCCCGCTGCCCGCCTCCTGCCCAGCCCCCGCTGCCCGCCTCCTGCCCAGCCCCCGCTGCCCGCCCGCCCCCACTCCTCCCCAGACACCTTCGTGCTGCTGTCCCGTGTGCGCAACAAGCCCTACGACGTGTTTGGCTGCTGGCTCACCGAGACCAGCCTCATCTCAGGGAACCTGCACCGCATCGGGGACATCACCTCCTGCTCCGTGCTCTGGCTCAACAACGCCTTCCAGGTGAGGCGGGCGGGCGGGCGGGCTGGCAGGCGGCCCCGGGCCCGACTGCCGGCACCACCACCTGCGCCCCTCTCGTCCCCCAGGACGTTGAGTCTGAGAACGTCAACGTGGTGAAGCGGCTCTTTAAGATCCAGAACCTCAACGCCAGCACCATCCGCACGGTGATGGTGGCCGACTGCAGCCGCTTTGACAGCCCCGACCTCCTGCTGGACAGCAGCGCGCCCCCGGGCCGCGTCTTCGACCTCAGCAGTGACAGTGACCATGAGGAGGAGGAAGAGGAGGCGGCTGGACCAGCCCCGGTGCACACCGAGAGCTGGCGGCGCCTCCTGCACGGGCTCCTGGACGCCCCGGCACAGCCGCCGCTGGCGGAGCGCATGCTGGAGACCAGGGTGGCGCAGCTGCTGGCCCAGGGCCGCACCAAGCCCCCCGAGGGCAGTGCGGCCTGCGCCCGGGACAAGCTCCTCATCTTCACCACCGGCTGCCTCACCTACTCCCCGCACCAGATCGGCATCAAGCAGATCCTGCCGCACCAGATGACCACGGCAGGGCCCGTGCTGGGCGAGGGCCAGGGCTCCGACGCCTTCTTCGACGCCCTGGACCACGTGATCGACGTGCACGGGCACATTGTGGGCATGGGCCTGTCCCCCGACCACAGGTGCGTGGGGGGCGGGGGGGGGGCGGGGGGGCGCCTTGGGTGCGCACGTGCGCGAGCAGAGTGCCCTCGCCCAGGTACTTGTACGTGAACAGCCGCGCCTGGCCCAGCGGCTCAGTGGTGGCCGACCCCATGCAGCCGCCGCCCATCGCCGAGGAGATCGACCTGCTGGTGTTCGACCTCAAGACCATGCGGGCGGTGAAGCGGGCCCTGCGCGCCCACCGCGCCTACACGCCCAACGACGAGTGCTTCTTCCTCTTCCTGGACGTGAGCCGGGACTTCGTGGCCAGGTGGGCGCCAGGGCGGGCGGGCGGCGGGCGCCGGGGCGGGGCGGGGCGGGCGGCGCCGAGGCGGGGCGGGCGGGCAGCGGGCGCCGAGGCGGGGCGGGCGGCGCCGGGGCGGGGCGGGCCGTGCCCGGGGCTCACCCGCCGTCCCGCAGTGGGGCGGAGGACCGCCACGGCTACGTCTGGGACCGCCACTACAACATCTGCCTGGCCAAGCTGCGGCACCAGGACGTCGTCAACTCCGTGGTCTTCAGCCCCCAGGAGCAGGAGCTCCTGCTGACAGCCAGCGACGACGCCACCATCAAGGCCTGGCGCTCGCCACGCACCGTGCGTGCCCTCCAGGCCCCCCGCCCGCGCCCCTTCTTCTCCTGGTTCGGCAGCCAGAGGCGCTGAGGGGAACGGAGAAGCACCGCGTTTGGCTGCAGGACCGCGGGCTGCGAGGGAGCTGCTGCCGGAGGCGGGGGTGGCGGCGTCGCAGCAGCAGCAATGCCTGCGGAGGGGGTCCGCGGGCGCAGAAGACGCGGGACCCACCACGCTTGTGCACACACTCCACCTCCCACGGCCGTGACACTGGCTCCCGGGCACCTGGGTGGCCTCCGGGCTGCTTGGGGTGCACAGGACACTGGGAGCCCCCCTTCACACACTCCTCTCCCTAGGCCTGGGCCCTGGGCCGTCAGCACGACCCTCCCCCAGGCTGGCCCTCTGGGCCCTGGGGGTGGTCCTGGCCCAGCCTGGCCCTGGGAGCCCGGGTCACTGGGCCTATGGACTGCATGTCACTCCTCACGTGTTCAGGACTGAATAAACAGTTGGCAGCAGCACACCGTGTCGTCTCTAACACGCAAACCGAGCACGGACGCACGCGTCAGAACGCAGAGCGTGAGCTGCTGGCTCCCGAAGCTAAGCACACCCGTCTCCGATGGGGGGGGAAGCACCCACAGAGCGTCTGGCCAGGGCTGGAGGCGAGCTTGCTCAGCCTGAGCAAAGGGCATGGAACAGAAACCCACAGATAAGATGGCGCTCGGGTGACGGACTGCCCCCCCCTTCCCGCTCACCGTGGAGCCAGGCAGGAAAGAGGATAGGGCGCGCACACTGTCATCCTCCTGGGCAGCATAACTGTTGAGACACAAAACCCCCTGCACCCCAGTCCGGTCAACCGAAAACCCAAGATCCTCCTGGAACCAGAAAGTGGGTTTAGGAAGCGTACAGGTGCCGCTGTAACACAGTAACTGACCAGGTCTCTAAACACCAGGCTTTAGCTCAAAAAGGAGGAAACTCCAGGCGAGAACCTGACCGAGCACGTGAGGGCATCGCGCGCCACTCCGCACAGGCCACCAGACCCCTCCTCCTCGGCCGGACTCTGCTCGGGGGCAGGCCTGGCGGCCCGGCCAAGTCCCCTGGGCTTTCCTAGCAGCGGGCAAGGTGACTAAGATGCACACTTGTCTGCAGAGGAGCTGGTGCAGCTGAAGCGACTGAAAAACAAGAATGAAGTGGGAGGAGCCCCCCCACTGAGGGCTGGTAGTGAGGACAGCGTGCTGGTTCCCTCTTCAGAACACGGTTCACACACGGCCATTTTCACAGTAAAATCCACGGAGGGGGAGGTCAGTCACATGGATGGGCGTCTACTCAGCGAGGGGCTGGGGCAACGGGCATCCTTTGCAGAAAAAATAAACGCAGACCCAACCTCATCTGTGAGGACCACCGCCCCACGTGACCTGCAGCCACCCCTCCAGAGGAGCCACCTGGACACCCACCGACCCACAAGCACCACCCGTGAGAAAGTCACTTCTGCTCCGAGAAGCACGGTAAGAGGATGGAAGATAAACCGACAGGAATAGTTGCAAATTCCATACCAACAACACTGGTTTCTGGACCACGTAACGGCAGCTAGAAACCCAAATCCGGACACGTCACCAAGGAGACAGCCCACACTGCTCGACATCAGGCACCTGGCAGAGCCGAAACCGGTGTGGCTCAGTGGATAGAGCGTCAGCCTGTGGACTGAAAGGTCCCGGGTTCGATTCCCGTGAAGGGCATGCACCTTGGTTGCGGGCACATCCCAATGGGGTGTGTGCAAGAGGCAGCTGATCGATGGTTCTCTCTCTCATCGATGTTTCTGACTATCCCTCTCTCTTCCTCTCTGTGAAAAATCAATTAAAAATTTTTAAAAAAGCCCAGACACCATGCCTGCTATATACACGTGCGCGCGCACACACACACACACACACACACACACACGGTGCCCACGGGGACTGCGGGCACAGTGGGGTCAGGCCAGGTGGCCTCAGGCCACGGCTGCAACACCGAGCAGCGCCGGCCGGGCTTCAGTCCTCCCCTTGGTCCTGGCGGCCGAGGCCGGCAGGAGGGGCGTTTTCCAGGTGCTCACAGATGAGTGGCCTCAGGGCCCCTCTCGGAAGGGCACTGACCCCATCACGGGCCCCACCTTCACCACCTAGGCACCTCCCAGCACCTGCACCCTGGGGTCAGAGCCTCAGGGGGGGACTGGGCGGGGGAACACACACGCACGCGCGCGCGCACAGAACCCAGCAGCGTCTCTGGAACACGGTTTCAGTTTATGAATTTAAATTCGTGGCGGCCTGGCAGCCTGCACCTGCGAGGAAGGGACGGTCACCAGGGCAAGTGGTGCCCGCGCGTGCAGAGCAGCTCCATTGGTGCCGGCCGGGCCTGTGCAGAGCTCAGACGCGCTGGGTCCGGGAGCCGCAGAGACCAGACCCCTGGCGCTCACAGCCTCCTGGCCTCCCAGCAGCCTCAGGGGACGCGGGCCATTCCCCCGCAGGTCACAGGCCGAGGCTGTGGCCCCGGGGCTGGGACCTCCCTTGGCCCTTTCTAGGTCCCTGATGGTTCGGAGCCGCGCTGGGCGGAGCCTCTGCCTGTGGCTGCCTGGCCCGGACATCGGGCACCCACAGCACTCAGAGTTCCGAGGGCTCCATGGCAGGACATCCTCCCGCTTGCCGAGAACCATGTGCGCACACACCGGATACAAATGCCAACATCAAGCCCCATGTCACAGACAAACCTCAAACCACCTCGAGGACGGTCCAGCCCTGGGGCAGCAGGTCAGCAGTGCCGTCCACAGAGGAAGACCGTCCAGCCATCAAGTCTAAATGGTGACAGCACCCCACGTATGAGGTGGAGGTGGACACGCGTGCTCGCTGCGTCATTCTGTGCTTCTCTGTCCTTGAACTTCTCGCGAGAGACTCGTGACAACGTCAAGGGCAGTCAGAGTCGGGGATCCCCCTACCTACAGACGCAGGCAGCCCACAAGCCGGACTCGGGGGCCCAGAGAACAGGACATCCGTGCCCGCCCCACAGGCTGAGGCCCAGAGAAGCTCTGGATGGGGCAGGAAGGGAGGCCAATGTGCCGTCAGGTCCCAGCAGGGACCCCGCACGCCCCATGGGGTGGGGCCGGCCCAGAACGGGGGAAGGTGTGGTCCTGCTCTCAGGGCAGCTCCTGGGGAGGTCTGAGGGAGGAACCGGTGAAGAACATTCCAGAAGAAAGAACCGCTGTCTTCCCAAGCACACTGGTGTGAGCTGAGCGTCAGGGAACCACAGAGCCGCTCAGGGGAGACGGGCTGGGGGCCAGGAGGGCGCCCCCGCGAGGCGGGAGCCAGTGGACTCCACTCACCACAGGTTCAACCATTTAATGACTCCCCGCCTCACGGGCCAGCGACACGTGTCGGGGAGGCCGGCCGAGGCCCGCACACGCCACGGGCACGGTGGACGCTCAGGACGAGCCGTCGCCCCCTGCTGGCCTGGCCAGGCTGGCACAGCAGGTCCCCGCAGAGCCAGGCCAGGCCCCACACTCCTTGTCTCCAGGGCCCAAGGGCGGGACAGGCCTGCGCCCCTCGCGGGCGACTCCCATGCAGCCCGCCTGCCCTCTGCGCCTGGCCCTGGGCTCCGGCCGCCTGGCCAGGCCCCCAGCACACACCGGTGGCCTGTGGGCTCTCCAGGCCCCGGCCCAGCAGGACCTGGGCTGAGCCCCCGAGGCTCTCCTGGGGACAGATGTGGTGCGGTCTGGCCCCAGGGAGGTGCTAGAGCCCCGTCAGGTCCACGATGGCCTTGATGAAGATGGCGTCGTCGCGCACGTACGAGTTCTTGGCCTCCATCTTGGAGACGGGGCAGAAGAGGGGGCAGCCGCTCGCAATGTTCATGTCACTGACGGGCCTCTGGAAGGAGGAGGAGGTCACGTCGGGTCTGAAGGCGTCGATCACGTGCTCCCGGTTGTTCTGGTCAAGCAGCATGAGGGTCACCTAGGAGGAGTCCAAGGGGCAGCGTGAGCCCGCCCGCCCCGCTGCCAGCCCCTCGGTGACGGTGCCCATTCTGACGGCTCCCGTCCTCGGACACCTGGGCCCCGCCAGAGCCGAGCCACCGACCGCGCGCACTCCTGGGTTTGCTGTGTGTCCAGCACATCCGCGTGCCCAGCCACGCCCAGGACCAGCCCCGTCCCAAGGCCCCGAGCCCACTGCCCCGCCCCCAGCCCAGTTCTGGGCTCCCACCCAGGAAGGCCTCCCGTGGACGGGCTCTCCCGGGCGGACGGGCGGGCGGGCGGCGTCTGCGGAAGCCCAAGGCCCGCAGTTCCGGCCTGCGGCAGCGCAGGGCAGCGCCCACACCGCACCTTTTGGTTGAAGGGCCAGCGAAGGAGGGCGTCATGGGGGCCCTTCATCACCACGAAGAAGAGGGACAGGTGTGTGCCACGCCCGGTGCCATCCCCGTTGAGGTACACGCGCAGGCACATCTTGTAGCCATACCTGCTGGTGTAGAAGGCTGTGGGGTTGGGGGTGAGTAGGGCAGAGGTAGGGGCAAGGCCCACCCGCCGCCTCCCTGGGGACAGGACAGACGTCACCGCCTCGCACACTGCGCTCCGGAGACCCACACAGGAGCAGGCCTGGCAGGGGAGTCCCGCCTGGCCCAGCTGCCCCTCCTGGTGGCACGCGGAGACCGGCGAGTGACGCCGGGGCAAGGAGCCAGGCGTGGGGGCGGGGCTCCCACCACGGGAGCACTTGTCACTGACGCCTGCTCTCAGGAGGCACAGCGGCTCCTGGCCTCAGCGGGACGGGGTGGGGTTGAGGGAGGACGGGGGACACGGGGACACAAGCTCCAGACAGCACCTGGCGAGAAGATGGCAGGGGTGCGACCGGCCACAGCCTCCTGGCGCTTCCTGGCGAAGTCGGAGATCTTCCAGATGAACACACCGTCGAAGGTGGATGCCTCCATCTCATGCACCTTCTGCTCCAGGTCGGCCATTGCCAGGTCCTTCAGGCCGATGCTCCTCTCCAGCTGCTGCACCTGGGGGCGCGGGGAGCCCATGAGGACGTGGGGACCTGGGCCTGCCCCCTGCTCCCTGGGGGCCCGCTTCCACCTCCCAGGAAGCTGTGTGAGGTCAGCCACGCCCACCTCTCCCAGCCCCCGTCCCCACGAGCCCCCTGGTGCCCGGCCCGAAGGGGGAGGCTGTCCTCGGCCCTCTGCCTCAGTCGGCCAGCAGCGAACAGGGCCGGGGGGCTCTGCAGAGCCGAGATGGAGGTGCCGTCCCGCGGGCACACACCTTGTTACTCAGGGCCTTGATCCTGTCCTGGTCCAGCCGGTGCTGCCGGCCGCAGGCCTCGGCAGTCACGGCCGCCCGCTCCACCTCGCGGTTCAGCACGCAGACGATGTTCTCGAAGGTGGCCGTCGTCCTCTCCAGGGCCGCGCACCGCTGCAGCAGCCCGGCCGCCCGGGGCTCCCCGCCGCCGCCCGCCGCGCCCGGGGGGCCGGCCTCCAGCAGCGCGCGCAGCAGCAAGGCCAGGTGCTCGCGCAGCCGCTGCAGCTCGTGCTCCGGCTGCGCCCCGCTCTCCACCTGCGGACAGAGCGGAGCTGGCCGCACGGCTCGGAGCGCTCGGCGACGCCGGTCGGTGACCGTGCGCCGGGTTTCACGGGTCCCTGTCGGGAGCCAGTCGCTGGCTGACACGCAAAGTGACAGGGAAGGGCACCCCACTGTCAGCCGCGCGTCACCAAGCTGTTCGTCCAGCGCACGGATCTCACTCTGCAGCCATCTCCCGTCCAACCTCCAGCCTGCTCCAGCATGGCCGACCCTCCACGCATCTCAGTGGAAACAAGGAACTGAGCAGCTGAGGGCTCAGACAGGTCCTCCAGGGACGGCTGGCAGGACAATAAAGGGCCCTGTCGCTGTGCCCAGGCCAAGGTCTTGGCGCAGACCCACCAGGTCAGTGCCACGCGCAACCTCAACAGGAACAGACCCAGGCCGTGTCCTCTGACCGCCAAGGACCCAGGCCCAGCAGGCCCCGTGCCAGGGAACCAGTCTGAGTGGGTGACCAACACCAGGGTGCACAGACAACAGGCGGGCAGAGAATGGAGGGGACAGAGGCGGCACTCTCCGTGTGCCATCCTGGAAAAACACCTGAGAAATGCTGCCAGGCACCTACCACTGAGGAGCGGGTGCCAGGCCTGCCCGTCTTATGGGCCCAGGCCCTCAGTTAGCTGGGGGGGGGGACAGTCAGGGAAAGGAGGGTGAGGGGTCCTGTGAGCTGCAGGGAGGAGGCGGTGGGGCCCTGGGGTGGGAGGAGGTCAGTGCTGGAGGTGGAGTGGCCAGAGGAGGTCATAGGCAGCCGGGGCCGAGTCACACAGGGAGAGCCATCAGGGTGCAGAGGTGAGGCGGGGAGGGGAGGGGAGGCAGGGAGGGGGGAGGCGGGGAGAGGGCAGGGGGGAGGGGGGGAGGCAGGTGGGGTGCGGGACCCGTTTGTGCCCAGGAAGAATGGAGGATCTTCATGCTCACTGGACAGACATGGGAGAGAAGGGTCCAGAGTGACGGCTGGCTGTCGGCCAGCGTGGCTGGGCGAACCAAGGTGCTCATTTTGGACGAGGTGCAGGGCTGGAGTGTGGCGAGGCCTGAGATGCACTGGGTGTCGGGAGGACAAGCGGGGTGGCCAGGGCGGGGCCCCAGGAGGTGGAGATCAGCAGGCAGCCTGGGGCCTGAGCCGGCACCTGAGGGCCAGGCAGCGGGCAGGTGGAAGCGAACGGAGGCCCGGGGGGGCTGACAGCCGGCTCGGGAAGGACACGGTGGGCATGGAGACTGGAGGAGGGCCGGGCTCACCATCTCCAGGCAGCCGACGTCATGGAACCGGCAGGGCGCCGGGCACTTGCCGCACATCCTGAGGTGGTCCTGGAACTACAGGAGCGGACATCAGACGCTGCGCCTCGCGGCCGGGGCAGCGTGCACTCGGGTCTCTGGCCCACCCCACCCACCTCTTCACTCTTGTCTGACCAAAACCCAACAGCCCACTTTCAAAGCGAAGACGTGCACAGACACGCACACCCACACAGACGCACTCACACCGGGCACTCCCATACGAAGCGGCCACAGGACACCTAAGTGTGGCCCCTCCAGCACCATCCACCAGGGACTTCGGAGCAGAAACACAGCCCTGAATCTCAGCAACAGCAGGAGACACCTTAACGGAGACCACCCCCCATCAAAACTACCACCGAGCAAAGTGGAAGGAAAGACACAACGCCACCCCTAGCACAGAGCTCCCCAACGGGAGATGGGACCAAATCCCCTGGGAAGTGGAGGAGCCGAGAAACCTTCGTTAGACTTGAGAGAAACCAACGCCACTGGACTTGAGGCGAGCGCTCAGCAGACGCACGTGGGAGAAATGCAAACCCCAACGCCCCAGGACACGGCTCTGACCCGGCACCAGGGCACAGCGAGTCTGCCGACCCTCAGTGGCAGGTGCCCTGAGCCACGTGAGCCACGTGAGCATTTCCCAGAACGGCTACTGGACGTCTGAGTGGCAGAGCGTCTTAAACCACACGCGCAGCAGCAAACCAACGAACGGAGTGCACGCTGCCCGCAGCCTGCCGCGCCACCTCCAGCCGCCTGCGGGCCCAGGACTCCCAGCAACCACAGCCCGAGCCCCATCGCGTGACAACGCTCTCTGCAGCAGGAAAGCTACAGACGCGAGAGCGTGGCCGTGACCAGCACGGACCCGTGAGTTCTCTCTTAAAGCCAGCAGGGTGCCTGCCGCCCGCCCTGAGCCTGGGCCTGAGCCGTGGACGGAGGGGCAGGGAGGGGGGCGGCCGCCCGGCCCCTTGAGCCTCAGGAACGGCTGCGCGGCCTGAGGTGTCCATCCCTGAGGCTAACAGAAGAGCGGCCACAGGGGACCACCGGCCATCGCACCAGGTCCCTGGGCTCGCAGCGCGGCCCTCGCGGGAAGCTCACGCCATCTTGCCTGTCTCACAGGCGCCAGGTCCCACTTACTTTCTCGCGAGGGGTCACCTGGCCGCAGCCCGCGCAGGTCACGGGGAACTTGGGGCAGACCTCCTGGTGCGCCTGGGAGAGAAGGGGGAGCTGGGGGAGCTGGGTACGGCGATGCCGGACCAGGCCTGGCGCCGTCGGCACAGGGGCCCGTGGGCCCCAGACACCAGCGCCCCTTCCAGCGGGCGGCCCCGCGGAACCCGCCCAGCCCCACAGCGGGCACCGCGCCGCAGCGCACCTTCACGTCGGCCCAGCAGCAGGCGGCCCGGCAGTGCTGGCAGCTGAGGCTCCTCTCGGGGCACTCCTGCTCCTCGTGGCGCTCCTTCTCGCCGAGGCGGACCAGGCCTTTGCATGCCGGGCACTCGGTCAGCAGGAACGGGCAGAGGCCTTCGTGGCAGCTCTGGCAACAGAGGGAGCCGAGCGTCCGGAGCGGCACGCGGGCCCTGGTGGAGCCGCCCGGCCTGCCGGGGCCCCCGCCGGGCTCCCGCTCCACCCACCCCTTCCAGGCGCCGAGAACGACACCCTCCGACACCTTTGTTCCGGGTCAGAGTCAGGACCCACTCCCACTGGTGGCACCCCCCCCCCCCCCCCCGACGCCAAGCACGACCCTCCCTGCCCGGAGCCCTGGCCAGGGAGAGGGGCGCACGGCCACGACGGAGACGGGTGCAGAAAGGCAGGAGCAGAGCCACGGCCGGCGACACAGGGACAAAGACGGCTGGGTGCCAGGCGGCCAGGACAGAAGGCCAAAGGGTGGCCAGAGCCAACGGCCATGAGAAGGGACCACGGGGGCAGAGCGAGAGGGCACTCGGGAGCCCAGCCCTTCCCTCTGCACACCGAGCCGGGAGCCCGCCCTCCAGAGCTGGCGGTGCAGGGCGACAGGCAGGAAGGCACCAGGCGTGTCCTAGGGAGGCGGGTCCCAGCCCGGGGCCCCCAGTGACTGGTGAGCAGGGGCCGACCCCGAGGTTCCGAGGGGCCTGGGAAGGCCGCTGGGGGGGGACGGGGGCGGGGGCGGGGCGGGGCGCGGCCTGGACGTGGGCTGGGAGCCTCGTGGGTCTGCCAAGGACCCGGAGCCTCGCAGGCCACAGGGAGGACAGGGCGCTCAGGCTTCCTGCTAGCTCGGCCCCGGCAGACCTCCTGCTCCTCTGGGCAGGGGGCCTCCGGTCTACGGCACCTGCCCCGCCCGCACTGAGCACGCTGTCACCGAAACACCTGGGCACGTGGCTCCCTCAGAGGACCTGTCTCTCAGCCAGCTAACTCCTGGGCTGGTGGCACAGCTCAGTGGCTGAGAGTCCACCCACGCACCAGGAGGCCCCGGTTTAATTCCCAGGCAGGGCACAGTGGGAGGCGGCTCATCAATGAATCTTATCACCGATGCTTCTCTCTTTCCCACTCCTGCCTCTCCGAAACCAATGAGACGTTAAAAGTGGGAAGAGAAACTCCTGGGGGCACGGGCAGACAAAGCACCCTGCAGAGGGCGGGCCCTGCCCCGGGACTGGGCACCCAGGCCATCGTGGGCTGCACCGCCCCCCGCCCCCCTGCAGGGGCCACCGGCGTGGAGACCCTCAGAGGAGCACCGCCAGAGAAAGCAGCGGTGCCTCAGCCAGGATGCCAACGGGACACCGGGCAGAGCCGAGGGGCGCCCAGCCCGCTCTCCTCCCCTCGGGCGTAGCTCTCGGGCCCTCGCTCGCGCCCTGGCCGGGCAGGTCCGCGCACCCGCAGGCTGCACAGCACCGCCGAGCTCCGGGAGCCGGAGACGCCATCGCAGAGGACAGTCAGACCCCCCACCCTTCCATGAGGCACCGGGCAGCGCCACGGCCAGCGAGTGGCCCAGCGAGCACGCCTCCACGTGACCAGCCGGCGCGCAGGGACTTTCCGGAGCGGGGCAGCCAGGGACTTTCCAGCCGCACGCCTGCCGGCCATGGCAGGAACCAGGCCTGGCTGCGGTCCTGCCTCCCCGAGGCCAGGAAGCCATCGCCCACACCCGGCCTGGAGGCGGCAGAAACCCCAGAGGAATCTGGGGCTGAGCCCACCTGTCCCCAGGGACCCCCGCCTCTCAGAGGCAGCCCGGCACCCCGAGTTCCTGCCCCCCCAGGAGACCCTGACCCCGAGGCTGGGTGCCGGGCAGTGACAGCCGAGGGTGCCGGCAGTGCAGATGCGCCCCGTGGCCTCTGGGCTGACCGCCCCCAGGCAGACCGCGGGGCCCAGCGCCGCTCGCTCCCTGCCCGGAACATCTTCCCGCCTGCACCCCAGAACTCCCCTGGCAGAACCCAGTGGAGCCCAGAGGACTGCACTGCTGCACACACAGCAGCAGAGGGAGAGCCCCGGCCGCCGCCCTGCCCTGCCCACACTGGGTGGCCAGTCTCAGCCTGAGGAAAACACCCTCAGGAGAGGATTAACAGCAGCAAGAAGAGAGAAGGGCCAGGCTCCTGGACGGCCTCGGCACCTCAGCCTCCACGCCCATCACCGGCCCCTCATGCTGAAGAGACACAGGCACCTCGCGGCCGAGACTGGCCTGGGAGGCGCGCCCTGCGCCCCGTCACAGGCCAGGTGCCCCCGCGACCCAGGGCAAACGAGCAGGCGACCGGGCGCGTTCCCAGCGCCAGCGCCATCCAGAGTAAGAAGGCTTCGTCTGGAGACTCGGCAGAGCCCACCAGCAACGCCACGACCCCCCGTGGCAGGGCTGCACCGGTGCACGCCGCCGGCTCCACGGGAGCCCAGGCTGTGCGGCTGGGCTGCCCTCTCACAGACAATGGACGCGGTGGCACCACGTGTGGGCAGGCGGCCTACCTCGTACTCCTTGAGGGTCCCCTTCCAGGCACAGCCGTCGTTGGAGCAGATGGCGGGCAGGCTCTCCACCTCCCTGCGGGCAGCGTTGTCGGGGAAAGCCTGTGGACAGCGGCCTGCGTGAGCGTCCGCAGCCGGCCCCCGGAGCCCGGCCCCGAGGGCAGCCTGTCCACCTCCAGCGGCTGAGGCCCCCTCGGTGCCTCTGAAGGAAGCACGTGTTTCTGTTCACGGGGTCCACTCACCGAGCTACTCTCTAAGAGGGAAGCGCCTTCTTCGTAGATGCCCTCGTGCACACAGGCAGCGCAGTTCTGGGGCCCGGAGCTGGGGAGAGGGTGCCGGTGAGACCTGCTGCCGAGGACGGTGGCGTCTGCCAGCCCCGCCGCCCAGCACCCGCACCGTCCCCGCGGGCGGAGCACACGCCAGCGTGACGTTCCAGCGTCAGAGCGGTGAATCTGCTCCTGCGGTGGTCACCCCACGGGGAGCGAGCGCCCACTCAGAGGCAGACCCCGGAGCAGGTGTGGGCCCTGCCTGAGACCCCCGGCAGGCACGGCACACCACCACCAGCCAGCGCTGCACCGCAATGTCCGTGCGAGGACGCCGGCAGAACCACCCGCAGGAACGCACGCTCACGTCCGCCCCTCGCAGCACCCGGTCTCCACTCCCCCCTCCTCTGCAGTGAGCCTGCGCCGTCAATGAGGTTCACCGGGAGCACAGCCTGCCGGAGCCGCCCTGGCTGGCACAGCCCTGCAGCCACCGCCCCTGCCCCTCCCACCGCCCGCCGCCCGCCCGCCCACCTGAGGATGCTGCTCAGGCAGAAGGAGCAGTAGCGGTGGCCGCACTGGGCCTGGAAGGGCCTGCGCAGGACGTTCTTGCAGGCCGAGCACAGGTACTTGTCCTCTAGCTTGGTCCCCAGCAGGGCTGTGGAGAAGCCGGGCTGCAGCACGTCCAGGGAGCCGGGAGGGGTCACGCTGGCTGCAGCCATGGGTGTCGCGTCCCCCAAGAACGCCAGGCCCTGAGGGAGGCAGAGACATCGAGGCGTTGAGAGGCGCCCACCCCGCAGTAACCCTCCGAGAAATGCCGGCCTGGCGAGCAGGACGCTGACCAGTCAGCTGACTGGTCGCAGCATGACTGACGCTCGAGAAACCATCCAGCCCATCCGCGCCACAGACTCGGAGACCGGGCTTCGCAGGTGTGGCCCCGCGCCCCCCGCAGCGCCTGGGCCAGCACTGTCCGCCCCTCCCCGCTGACCGCGTGCTCGGCGTGCCAGCTCCTGAGGGTCCCACACGAGCTCCGAGGCTGGTGGTGGAGCCTCTACAACAGGCCGCTCACAGCCTGGCAGCGCCCAGAGGTGGGCACACGGCCCAGGGCCTCTCCCAGGCCCGCCTGGTGCTGCTCCTCTGCGCCGGCCTCACCCCAGCACTCCGGGTCCGGAAGCCTCTCCTGGGACTCTGTCCGGCACCCACAACACCAAGGCCCAAGAGCCGGGACTGCCCAGCCGGCCCTGCGCGGGGCCAGTCCCCAGAGGACGCTGCGCTGCAGACGGAGCGCACCCCTCCCAGCCGCAGCCGCAGGCGGACCCTTCCAGAAGAGGGGCCACCGCCTGTGCTGGGGCTGGCCCCACAGAAACAGCGACAGGTGGGGTGTCGTCGGGCAAGACCACTTTGAGACTCGAGTTTGGACCTGGCACTTGAGGCCTCACGCCAGCGAACCCGGGCCCGGCACAGCCTCATGGCCCGCAGCCAGCGCAGGCCGTGCCGGGCCACTCAGCACACGGACACACTGCTCTCTCGCTCGCTCGCTCGCGGGCTGCCTGGGACCAGGCGGCCGTCCTTCCGCCCTCGGGGCAGACAGAGCTGACACAGCCCTCGGCACCCTCGGGCGGAGGTGGGGGCCCCTCTGCCTGCCCCCACGGGACCTAGGCCTCGGGCACCCCTGCAGACACACGCCCTTCCCCAAAACAGGCTCCTCCCACCCCAGCCTCGCCTCTGGAAAGGGCATCGCTGCCAGAGACAGCGGTGTCCACGGAGGAGCCTCAGCTCGTGGCGCCGGGTCAGGCCCTGCCATCCTGTGGAGACGGGCACCGGGGCAGCAGCTACTTTGGGGGCGACACTGGGAGGTGAAGGGTGTGTGTTTGGTCTTCTGCCCAGGCCTGGCACAGAGCACCCGAGCCCCCGGCTGCTGGGTGAGGGGGCAGGAGCAACTGTCAGTCACAGCCCTCCCACCGGCCGCCCAGCGCCCCGAGGGGAGGGCTGCAGACGCACTGACCCCCTCGGGCCTCCCGAGGGAGCCTCCATAAGACGCCCACCGGAGGGGATCAGAGAGCTTCCAGGCTGGGAGCGGCTCGGAGCGGGGAGCGAGCGTGCCCCCGCCCGGCTCCGTGCGGCAGGCCCTCAGCCTCTCCCTGCAGGAGCTCTGGATGCCGGGGTGGGTGTCGGACGCACTGGCAGGGCTGTCCCAGGCGGCAAGAGCAGAGACCCGCTCACAGCGAGTGCCTCTGGAGCTGATGGGGGTGAGGGGCTGGGGCTGCAGAGCACTGCTCAGAGGCCTGGAGCGCTGTCTGCTGAGAGAAAGGCCTTTTAAATGTATGTGCGCGGCGCTGACCAGAGAGGGAGAGGGAGAGAGAAACGTCGACCGCTGCCTCCTGCATCCTCCCCTGGGGAGCAAGACTGCAGCCTGGACGTGTGCCCCAGGGGAGGCGGTGCAGCCACTGAGCAACACCAGCCAGCTAGGAGAGGCTTTAAGAAAGCACTTCGTATCACTGTGTTGGTTTGAAACTCACGCGAGAGTAACTTCTGCGGCGTGTAAGCTTTACTGCAATAAAGCTGTTTTCTTAGGAAAGAAAAATTGAGCAACAGCTCGGGATTGGCTGGGACCTCCACCTGGAACACAACGGTCTGAGCTGCCGAGTCCGCCATTCTGCCCGGGCTGGGCGCACGGCGGCCCACTCCGAGCAGCTGTCCTGGGAGCTCCTACTGGGACCAGCCAGCCCCGGCCCACTCCGGCCCCGTCCGGGCAGCTGCCTCCACTCCAGGCCCTCACCAGCCCTCCGGCCGCAATCATCTGGGGTCCACAGGGCTCCCCGAGGTGAGGCCCGGAGAGAGACCCTCCAGCCGCTGCTCAGGCCTGGGGGCAGGGGCGGGGCTGCAGGCTGACCTCAGGCCCCACAGGCTCCCGGGTTAGGGGCCGGGGCCAAGGCCGCTCCCGGGGGTCAGCCTGCAGAGGGGTGGCTGGGGGCAGAGGAGGAGTGGGGGGCAGAGGAGGAGGGAGGAGGGTGGAGGAGGAAGGGGGGAGGAGAATTGGGGGCAGAGGGGGGAGGGGGAAGAGAATTGGGGGGCAGAGGAGGAGGGAGGGGGAGGAGGAGGGGGGAGGAGAATTGGGGGGCAGAGGAGGACTGGGGGCAGAGGAGTGGGGGGAAGAAGGGAGGAGGAGGAGGGAGGGGGAGGAGGGAGGAGAATTGGGGGGCAGAGGAGGACTGGGGGCAGAGGAGTGGGGGGCAGAGGAGGAGGGAGGGGGCGGGCGGAAGCAGCGGAGGCAGCAGGCGGGCCCGCAGGCCATCGGCGGGAGCCCCGGGGTCGGGAAGAAAGGGGTGAGACGCCCACAGGCCGCAGCGGGCCGCGTGGGGGACCCCGGGCCGTGGACCCCCGACCAGGCCCCGCGCGCGTTCGCGAACTTTCCGGCCCCGCGCCGACTTTCAGTTTCCGGTTCCCCCGCCCCGGGAATACCCCTCCGGCCCGCGGGGCGGCGGCGGCCCTGCCTCCCCGCCTGCCTCCCGCGCCGCGCGCCCCGCCCGGACCGCGACCCCCGACGCCGACCCCCGCGGGGCCACTCACCAACGGTCGCCGCGCGCCCGGAACTGCCCGCCCGCCCAGCCGCCGCCGCCGCCGCCGCCCCGCCCCCGCCTCCCCGCCTGACGGACTGACAGAAGAGCCTATCAGGAACGCGTAGGGAGCCGCAGCAGCTCTGATTGGCCAGATTTTTCCCCCGCCCTTCTTTGTGCCCGCCTTTCTGACGGACAGTCAGAGGAGCCTACCAAGAGCAGGGAGGGAGCCGCAGCGGGCGTCGATTGGTTTGCGCTTCCGTGACGTTGATTCATTCATTCCCACCGGGGTTGCTCCGAGCAGAGCCTGCCAGGCGCCCTCACGGCTCTGTCCGTGGAGCTCCGTGCACCCCGGGAGGACGCGAGGACGGGAGTCCCGCTGCAAGGCCTTCGCTGCTCTCACCTCCCGAGAACCTGGCGGTGCCCATGAAGGATCCGGCTCAGGCCGAGGGCACCGTGGCGGCACCTTCGCCTCCCCAACGCCCGGCTCAGCAAGGCCCCGCGTGAGCTGTTTGTAAGAAAAAGCACGAAAAGGCTCCCCTCCCCTAAAGGGGCTGAAGGCGACGAGGTCTCCGCTCCGGTAGGTTCGTGTTCTGGAACTAAACAGCGGTGATGGTTGCCCGACCTTAGGAATGTACAAACAACACTGAATTGTATGGCTTAATAGCGAATTTCATATGAATTTTTACCACAATAAACCCCAAAGGCACAAACTATGACCTCCAGACACACGGAAATGTGGGACACGCAAATGGAAACGTCTGGAAACAAGGCAGCGGTGTGGGCCAGGAAAAACGGAGCCGCACTGGGCGCGCTGACCTGTGGCCAGTGTCCCTGTGCCACCGGAGGCGCCAGACCAGCCGACGTCTCTTACGCAGCACGGGCATCGCTCACTGCCTGGCACACAGCTTCTCTTCTCGTACCAGCATCCGAAGAGGGACCGCCCTCTTCATTTTCCGGAAAAGACCACGGGACCCTGCGAGGTGATTTCCTTTGCCTCGGGCCACACAGCACCCCAGCACCTCTGCTCCGGGGGCTCATCCGAAGCCCCTGCCGAAGGAGGCACAAAGGGCAGAGCGGGCCGGCTCTGAAGTGAGTCATGTGAACAGTCCACACGTGTGCGAGATGCTTGCCTCACGCTGCACACGTCATTACCGGGTTTGCGGCCGGAATTTCCCGGGGAGATAGCAGCCAGCCGCCCTGCCTCTGGTGCGTGCTCCGTGAACTCCAGGCCGGGCTGGCCACAGGAGCCGTGGAAGCCGCGGAAGCCGCCGCCGCCGCTCCTGGCCACCCGCACTCTCAGGCGTCTCCCCTCGCTGCGAACCCCACAGGAAACTGTCCTTGTTGCAGAGAAGATTCCGCTGCAAAACCAGGAAACCGTCTGCCAGCCTCTGCAGTGGTCCCGGGAGGGTCACTCTTCCAGGGGGCAGGCCGAGGGCTGACGGGAGCCGCCTGGCCCGCCCACGCCCAGGGCTTCTCCTGAGCCAGGCTTCGCTCTGCTCCCAGGAAGGCAGCCAGCCGCCTGCGGACGCCCCTGAGACGGCCCCGAAGGACCTGCCGGCGTGTCTAGCATGGAAGCTTCTGCGCATCGTAAACACTGCCTCGTTCACAGGATCTTCACGCACGTGCACATGTGTTTTTTTTTAATTTGACTCTGATGACAGGCCTGCCCGGTGAGCCGAGCTGAGAACCGGGGAAGAGGGACCAGGAAGTGCCACCACCACCACCACCCCCCGCGCCCCCCCCCCCCCCCCCCCCCCCCCCCCCCCCGCCAGCCAGCTCTGACCTGGCAAGCTGGAAAGGGGTGACTCACTCTGGTCCTCCGGCAGCTCAGGGGATTCCCTTCAGGTCCCTTCCTGCCAAAAAGAAAGCGAAACTCGGGCCTCAGCCACAGCAGGGAGGAGCCAGGAGGCACCTGGGACAGCCCCACGCGGCCAGCAGGTGGCAGGGCGGGTTCCGGCCTGGAGCAGCTGTCCCGGCCTCAGTGCTCCCAGAGAAAGGCGTGGGCCTGGCTGCAGGTCAGGGTCCAGGCCAAGTGGACACCGCTGCTGGGCCTCCGCTGCCTCCTCTGTTTTTCCTTCTCACTTGGCATCTGGCCCCGACAGGTGTGGCCCATAAGGTGCTCACCTCACAACCTTGTCTCACTCAGACCTTTTGGGAGGACAGACACCAGCTAGCACAGAAGACAGAAAGGGTGACCTGGGTCCCCACTCAGGTCCTGGACATGGGACACACTGCTTGTGCCCCTCGGCTGGCCCCAGAGCCGCCTATGGCGGGACCACCTCCCAAAATATAGGCCGCTTCTCTGCCTGGACATCTCCGCCCCCCACCTCCACCCCCGGCTGCTCTTTTTTCAGGCACTTTAAGGTCAATCCCAGGCAGCTGCTTCTGAAAGGAGCCTGTTTTGCTCTGGCTCAGTCGTCATCTGAGGGCCGGCCTGCCAGCTCTGCCCCGGAATTCCCCTGCACCCAGGCCAGCCAGTAGGGGCTCCCCCTCCCGCCTCCCCCGAGAGTGCACAGCCAGGCGCCCTCCCTGAGACACCCTCTGAGGGGAGGAGAAGACACAGGGTGCACTCGGGGACCAGGAGGCCACCCGGGACTGCAGAGAGGCGGACGAGGGGCCCGGGTGGGAGGGTCTGCCCAGGCCGGCCGCTGGACGGGAGCCCAGCAGGAGAGCCAGGGCGCAAGGCTGGGGAGGATAGCTACGGCCCACGTGCACCCTCCGTGCACTGGGAAGGACACGCAGTAAGAGAAGTCGGGGACATGTTCCCTGCTTTCCATCCCACGCTTTTTGAAACCACTGATGGCATCACCTGTTCATACCACGCCTGTGTGCAGCCCAGAGGGGACTCGGGAAAACGCAACAGTACCGAGAAGAGAGCAGAGACCGCCCCACACTCCCTCAGCCACAGACAAGCTCGGCCAGGATTCCCAGCCAGTGCAGCACCCACCTCCCTCAGGCCACCTCAGAACACAGGCCGTCCCACACCCAGGGCCAAAGGCCAGGCAACAGCCTCCCACGCAGGACTGAAGCTTCCCAGGCGTCCCCACCTCTGCTGCGTGGGGCCTGGCCAAAGGGCCTTTGCACCAGCCTGGCCGCACCTGGACCAGCTCCCCGACTCCTCCCCACCCCCCAGGCGCCTGGCAGGCCTCAGTGCCTCGCTCCCGGTGGCCTGTTTTTGAGTGGGTCCCCCCACGCGCCCCAGGAGACTAGAATCGGTTTGTGTGCCCGTGACCTCCCCCAGATGTGGGTCACTGGCAGTGACCTTTGGGACCTCATTCTGAGCTCCTCATTGGATGGAGAACCAGGGGCCCCGCTCCTCCCGGCACGGCGGCGGGTCCGCGCGCGCCATCTGCCGGCGGAGACTAGAACGGCCGGCGAAGCAACGACACCTGCTCACTGCGGAATTCCTCCCGTCATGCAACGCGCAAGATGGTGCGCGGACTCAGCCCGTAAGGCTGGATGGAGGGTTTTTCTCTGGGTGGGGCTGCCCTTATCGGAACTCCTGTATTTGCGCAGCAAACACCTCCCTGCAGGAATGCTACCGGAGCACTCGGTGCAAAGCCCGAGCATTACCCACACCACGGTCACCACTAACCATCAGATGCCAATGTGATCAAACACGATGGAGAAGCTTGAATTGCCCTCTGTTCTTTCCACAGCACAATCTGCAAAGCCATGATGTGCGCGTTCAAAGAGAACACAGCCAGAAAAATAAAAAATAAGAGACAGCCAGCAACGTGAGCAAAAGCACTAGAAACGCATGTGTTAATCCACACAAATGTCATTTTTTGTGACACTTGTCAGGTTTTTTAAATGTGTAACTTGTCCTCTTATTATACAAAACTATCGTAAAATAGCCCTCGCCGGTTTGACTCCGTGGATAGAGCGTCGGCCTGCGGACTGAAGAGTCCCGGGTTTGATTCCGGCCAAGGGCACAGGCCTGGGGTGCAGGAGGCAGCTGATCCAGGATTGCCTCTCATCATTGATGTTTCTCTCTCTCTCCCTCTCTGAAGACAATGAAAATAGAAAAATTTTAAAACAACTGTAAGATATTACAACACTGTTGTAAAATAGACACATTTTACTAAGTATTATACGAAAATATTTATTTTCCTTTTTGGTTTTATAATTTTCCGTTTTCTGTCTTAAAGAGAGTCCTGCCCCAATTACGTATGCCCCACGCCTCTGCACCACGTGGGCACAATTCCAGGAAAGTAGCACTTGGACTTGCATGCTGGCTAAGGGCAGCCCGGAGCAGAAACCAAGCCCAACAGCAGAAAAACGGGTGCCATCCACTTCCCAGGCCCCTCCGCCCAGCACCCCTCCCTCCCAGGCCCCTCCGCCCAGCGCCCCTCCCTACCAGCACCCCTCCACCCAGCACCCCTCCGCCCAGCACCCGTCCCTCCCTGGCCGAAATGGGGCCGCCCCGCGCGCCCCCACGCCTCTCCCTGAGCACAGCACCGCCACGCCCTCCCCTCACCCGCGCCCCCTCCTCTATCCGAGTCCCCTTCTCACGGCCCAGCCCAGTCACAGCACCTCCAGCGGGGCGCTGCACCAGGACCCCTCTCCTACGCGCCCCTCTCCCCGCCTCCCTGCGTCACCCCGCCCTCTGCACCCGGACCGCGCCCCTCCGCGCCCCCCTCCGCCCCGCCCTCTGCACCGGGACCGCGCCCCTCCGCGCCCCCCTCCGCCCCGCCCTCTGCACCGGGACCGCGCCCCTCCGCGCCCCCCTCCGCCCCGCCCTCTGCACCCGGACCACTCCCCTCCGCGGCCCCCTCCACCCCGCCCTCTGCACCGGGACCACTCCCCTCCGCGGCCCCCTACACCCCGCCCTCTGCACCGGGACCGCGCCCCTCCGCGCCCCCCCTCCACCCCGCCCTCTGCACCGGGACCGCGCCCCTCCGCGCCCCCCTCCACCCCGCCCTCTGCACCGGGACCACTCCCCTCCGCGCCCCTCCGCGCCCCTCCGCGCCCCTCCGCGCCCCTCCGCGCCCCTCCGCGCCCCTCCGCGCCCCTCCGCGCCCCTCCGCGCCCCTCACTCCGGCCCCTCCGCGCCCTGACGTCATCACCCCACGTCGCGCACCGCCCCCACAGTTCCGCAGATGAGCCGGGCTCAGATTGGCTTCCAGGCGCAGGAAGTGCCCGCCCCTCAGGGATTCCGACCAATGGGAGGCGGGGGCGGGGCGCGGACGGCGCCGGAAGCGGGCTAGCGAAGAAGCGACGTCGCGCCGCAGGATCTCGAGCAGCTGCCGCCGAGCCGAGCCGCCGCCAGACCGCGGAGCCGCCGCCATGGCCGAGAGCGACTGGGACACGGTGACGGTGCTGCGCAAGAAGGGCCCCACGGCCGCGCAGGCCAAGTCCAAGCAGGTGAGGCCGGGCCGATGCGGGCTGGCGCGGGTCGGGCCGCGGCCCGGGGCTCGGGTAGGGAAGGGCCGGGGGCCGGGGCCGGGGCCATGGCCTGTCGGGGACGGTCCGCGCGGACGTGGGGGCGTCAGGATGAGGACAGGCGGGCGGACTGGAGGACGGTCCTCGATGGCGGGGGGGGGGGCAGAAGCGGAGGGGGGCGGGGAGACGAGGGGGGGAGGGCAGCGAGGTGGGGGGCAGGGAGGTGGGGGGGCAGGGAGACGGAGGGAGGACAGGGAGGTGGGGGCAGGGAGACGGGGAGGGGCAGGGAGACGCCGGGATGGGTGTGATTCAGGCCTGGGGTTGAAGCGGGCAAGGTCCGGAGCCTTTGACTGGGTGTGGACGGGGCGGACGGCCGCGGGGCCGAGGACCGGGTCAGGACTGGGAGGGGAACAGGGAGTGGGGCCTGGCTGGGGGCGGGATTGGAGCCCCCCCCAGTCCGATGCTGCCCGCGTCACCCACCGGCACCCTGCGCTGCCTGGGGCCCCAGCGAGGGAGCCCTCAGGGCGGCTGGAGGCAGCGGCCGGCGGGCGGGGCTGGGCCCGGGCCAGGGCTCCTTGGCCCGCCCCCCGCTGGCTGCGCCGTCAGAACCAAATGCGCCTTTTCTTTGTCAGAGGAAACAGGGCCGCGGCGGCAGGCAGCACAGCGCCAGGGAGCGCCTGAAAGCCCACTTAGGAGCGCCGAGCCTCGGTGGGGTGTTAGCAGAGGGCTGTGCCCCGAGGAAGGAAGGAACGGCCTGGGGAGCAGCTGAGTGAGAGGCGCAGGGTGCTGGGTGAAGGCGGCTTTGCCTGAGGAGCTGGGGTTCGAAGCCCAGCCTGCCCGGTGTCGGCGGGGCCGTCCTGCATCGGACGCCTCCTGGCCGGGGTGCGCGGCCGGTGGCAGGCTGGACCCCGGTGGGGTGTGGGCGATAGATGGCTTCCCTCCCTCTCTCTCAGGGCCAGTTAAAACCCAAACAAACAAAAGCCGGCGCCGATGCCAGCCCGTGGAAGAGCCTGCCCGGCTCAGAAAGCACCGGGCGCCCGCACTGCCCAGCCCGGCTCACAGCCGAGCTGGCTGCGGGGGCTGGCTGTGTGGTGCTTGTCCGTCCGCACCTGAAGGTGTTTTTCCCGCTGACTTTAGAGAGGGGGAGGGAAGGGAAAAGACAAACGTCAATTGGCTCCCTCCCTCATGGGGCCAGGGATTGAGCCGGAAACCAAATTAGGTGCTCTTGACTGGAGTCGAACCCACAACCCTTCAGCTGTAACCACTGAGCAAAACCAGCCAGGGTGAAAGCTAACATCTTAAAAGTTGACTTTAGAGAGAGAGGAAGGGGGAGAGACAGACATTGATTTGTTCCACCCACCTACGCATTCATTGTTGGCTCTTGTGTGCTCTGACGGCGTCGAACCCACAACCTTCGAGTAGCAGGTCAACACTGTAACCAGCTGACCTGCCCGGCCACGGCTCCAAAGTTAATAAACCGTTTCCTGGTTTCCTAGGCCATCTTAGCAGCCCAGAGGCGAGGAGAGGACGTGGAGACTTCCAAGAAATGTAGGTGCCGCCCACCCGCGCTGGGAGGGTTGGGGCGGCGTCTCTGCAGCTGTGCCCCTGCCCGGCTCAGGATGCCCGCTGGCAGCCGAAGCCGCTGCGGGCTGGGGTGCCGGGACTCTCACCCGAGCAGCTGTGGGTGGCAGAGGTCGGGAGGCTGTGCTGTCCACTCCCACCGCTGGGAGAAAGTTCTGGAATCTGCTCTTGAGCCTGTGCAGTTGCCGTGATTGGACAGCCTGGCTTCCCATGTACCTGGGCGCACAGGCCAGCACCTGCCATCGGGCCTGGTTCGTGTCCTGAAACACCTTTCTCTCCTGTTGGTACAAACCCCTCCTCCCTCCCTCCTCTCTCTCTTCCTCCCTCTCTCTCCCTCTCTCCTCTCCCTCTCTCCCTCTCTTCCTTTCTCTCTCTCTTCCTCTCTCTTCCCCCCTCTCCTCTCTCCCTCTCTCTTCCCCCCCTCTCTCTCCCTCTCTTCCTTTCTTCCTCCCTCTCTCCCTCCTTCTCTCTTCCTTTCTCTCTCCCTCCCTTTCTTTTCCTTTCTCTCTCTCTCTCTCTCCCTCTCTTCCTCTCTCCCTCTCTTCCTCTCTCTCTCCCTCCTTCTCCCTTTCTCTCTCTCTCCCTCCCTCTTTTCCTTTTTCTCTCTTTCTCTCCCTCTCTTCCTCTCTCTCTCTCCCTCCCTCCCTCTCCCTCCCTCCCTCCCTCTCTTTTCCTTTCTCTCTCTCTCTCCCTCTCTTCCTCTCTCTCTCCCTCCTTCTCCCTTTCTCTCTCTCTCCCTCCCTCTTTTCCTTTTTCTCTCTTTCTCTCCCTCTCTTCCTCTCTCTCTCTCTCTCTCCCTCCCTCTCTCCCGGTTCCCACCACTCAGGGGCTGCTGGTCAGAACAAGCAGCACTCAATCACCAAGAACACGGCCAAGCTGGACCGGGAGACGGAAGAGCTGCACCACGACCGTGTGACCCTGGAGGTGGGCAAGGTCATCCAGCAGGGCCGGCAGAGCAAGGGGCTGACGCAGAAGGACCTGGCCACTGTGAGTGCGGGCTCTGCCCGAGGTGGGGCTGGAGGGCTGCAGCGGGGAGCCGCGAGAGGCCACGAGAGCGACCAGGGCATTGGAGCAGCTCCACTGAGGCCCTGGACCCCTCGCCGTCTCGGAAGGTGGTGCCCGGCCCATGCACGTGTGTCCTATTGATAGTTCTGCAGCGTTTTCTTACCAAACTGACGCGTACGAAACACATTTTCTCTTTAGAAAATCAACGAAAAGCCACAGGTCATCGCGGACTACGAGAGCGGACGGGCCATCCCTAACAACCAGGTTCTGGGCAAGATGGAGAGAGCCATCGGTGAGCGCCCTGCGGCCGGGGGGGGGGGGGGGGGGGGGGCCGGGCGCGGGCTGCCCTGGGGGCGGGCAGGTGGGGCGCAGGAAGCCCGGCTTTAGGAACGCTCCCCTAAGTGAGCTGTGTGGTTTCCTTCCGGCATATCCCCCCCCCCAAGTCTGGTCCTCGTGCTCCTCCCTGCCATCCTCAGGGTGTCGGCCTGAAGCCAGGCATGAAGCTCTGTCGGGGGCGGGAAGGGGTGTCGGCTCTGGGTTGAGGTGCCAGCAGCTCCGAGAGCCCAGCGGAGTGGGGCTGCCGTCCCGGGGCCCTCTCCCTCCTCCTCTTCCCGCGTCCTGGCTGTGGGGAGGGAGCAGTGCTCATGGCCAGAGGGTGCCTGCTGCCCTTGTGGACGCGGTGGGAACGCGGGGGGCTGCTCCGGAGCCGGTGGGAGCTGCGAGGTCAGTGGTCCGTTGCTCCTTCAGGACTCAAGCTCCGGGGGAAGGACATTGGGAAGCCGATTGAGAAGGGGCCCAGGGCGAAATGAGCACAAAGCCTCGAGGTCAGTGCGTTCCGGCTGATCATGCTGGTGGTTCCCGGGACCCCCAGTGCCAGCGTGGCCTCTCGCGCTGAGCGGAACACGGGTGTCAGCCTGCTGGGACCCCCACCCAACTGCTGTAAACAAAGCCTTGCAAAGTGTTAGCTTCTCCTGTTGTGTTTCCTCCCTGCCCCCCCTCAGCGAGGAGCAGACCCACCACCCTCTCCCCAGGCGTCGGCCACATGGGCACAGCTCCCGGGGGAGCGGACGGGGCCTCCCAGGGGTGCGGGGCAGGGCCAGCCCGGTCTGCAGAGGGAAGACGCCCGTCTGGCTGCTAGAGACGCTAATAAACTAATAAACATTCGCTGCTCTTCCTGCTGGTGTGAGCCTCTGTCCCACCAGCCCGCCCACCGCACCTCTGCTCCCTCCTGGCCCACGTGTGGGAGGGGGTTGTTTGCATGACGGGCTGGGGGGTGCCCGAGGAGCCGTGAATGTTCGTGGGTGTTGGCACCAGGCCCCACCCCCCCTGGCCCAAGTCCCTGGCCACACGCTGCCCTATCATCCTGTGGGCCCAGAGGCCAGGGGGGCAGCCGGCCGGCACCCTTCCAGGCCCAGACGGGATGCCTGGTGCCCTGGTTGGGAAGGCCTGGCCCTGTCTGTTGTCAGGGACGGCGTGGGCACCGCGCGGTGTTCCCTCCCTCGGGAGCAGCTGTGCTCTCCAGGGACCGCTCAGTGGCGAGGGTGGTGGACACGGGGACTCTTCAGAGCAAGATGCACAGGCTGGCCGGAGTGTTTATTGTTGGGTGAGGACTTGAGCCAGACACGTGGGTGGAGGCAGGGTGCAGGGCGGTCCGGGGCCAGAGCTGACAGGATGGGGAGCTCTGGGGGAGCAGGTCCTCTGGGCCTAGGGGCCGTTGGTGACGGACGCTGGCAGGGTGACTTGATCCTGGAAAGGGGGAGGAGCCTGGTGATGGCTGGGTGGCAGGCGGGCGCCACCAGTTGGGTGGGTCGAGGGGTTCCTGCCTCACTGCTCTGCTCTCCAGGGTCCAGCCACGAGCAGGGCACAGCGGCTCCCCCACCCATCTGCCCGCCCCACCCGGGGCCCTACCGCATTGAAGAGAATGTTGTCAAAGCCGGGGGCCACGGCCGCTGTCCTGTTCCTGCAGGGGCAGCCCCCCTTCCACAGCCATTGCCACCCCGCGAGTCCAAGCAGCACCAGGAGCACGAGCAGGGCACCGCCAACCGCGGCAGGCACTGTGGCCGCCGCCGAGTCCCCTGGGGGCGTGGGGCACAGGGCCTGGGACCTCGTCCTCCCTGACAACCCACTCCCAAGCCAAGCACGGTGCCTGGGGACCCCGCCTGCTCCCCCTCAGGCTCCGGTCCCTGCTTGAGACGGGGGACAGCAGGCCTCATGGCCCCAGGCTGGACCGCACTTGGGATCGGGGGCCCGGGGAGGGAACAGCAGGCAGGTGGGGACAGTGGAGGCCAGCCGTGGCGGCTCTCCTGGCCTCAGGCAGCCACAGGGGCCGGGAGCTGCTGAGCCGCTGATCCCAGACCCGGAGCAGGGCTGGCCAGCCCAGGCAGGGCTTACCCTGGCTGGGCACAGGCCGCTGGCAGCGCTGCCCGGCCAGATACTTGATGTCGTCCAGGGCAATGGGCCCCAGGGCTGGCTGGCCGCCCAGAGTGGCTTCAAACACAATCTGACCGGGGGGAGAAGCCGTGTGGGCCCCGGAGGCAGGCCTGAGCCCAAGGCCTCCCCTCGAATCGCCAGCCTCACCTGGAACTCCTCCGCACTGGCCACCTCCACCTGCCCTTTCAACCACTGGTGCCGCAGGCGCCCGCCCGCGCCCCACACGGCCAGCTGGCCCCGCGCACTGCTCAGGAGCACCCTCAGCTCGCCCTTGTCTGAGAGTGGGGCCAGGGTGGTTCAGGCCGGTCCGGCTCCGCCACCTCCACTCCCCTCCCCCGCCCGCCGGCCGGCCGACTCACAGAAGTGCTCAGGGAAGCCCATGTGGTACCAGAAGCGGAGGCAAGAGGCCTGGGTGGGGGGCAGGGGCTGGCTGCGCAGCCAGGCTGCCCGGCCCCCCGGCCCCAGCACACCTGTCTCGAAGAGAGCAAAGTGGCCTGGGAACGAGAGAGGGAGGGGTGCCCCAGTGATCAATGGAGCTGACCCCTGCACAGAGGCCTCTGACCCTGAGGGAGCCCGGCGGAGCGGGGCTGCAGGCCTTTGGGGGGGGGGGGGAGGTGCCCTTGGGTGGGTGTGGCGCTGGGGCTTCCTCCCTGACTCAGACCCACCTGCGTCGGTGCCCAGGGTGTGGTCCACCGGGGGCTGGGGGTACCGGGAGGGTGTGGATCCACTGCTCCAGTCCCAGCTGTACCCTCCCAGGCCGGGCCAGGACAGGTGGCTCCAGCCACACAGGCCTGTCTCAAAGTCACAGGAAGCTGCAAGGGACCCGGGCACTGAGTGTACTGCCCCGCCCCCATTCCTGGGCAGCAGCACTGCTGGGGACACTTGGCACAGAGCTGGTCCCACCCGTGCGTCACGGCAGGCTCCAGGCCAGGCCGCCAGGCGCCCACCTGGCGGAGGGCAGGGCCCGTCCTGGAGCAGCAGGTCGTCCAGCGCCACGTAGGAGTGCTCCACGCCAGCGGCCACGGCCTCGAACACCACCTGGGCGGCACGGAGTGAGGCAGCGCCACGCCTGCCGACGGCCCTCGGCAGGAAGGCCCCGCCCTGGGTGGGCGCTCACCCTCCACGCCCGCTGGGCCTGCACGTCCACTGTGCCCAGGCGCCAGGCCGGCCCTCCACGCTCACTGATGGTCAGCACCTGGTGCCGCTCTGCCTCCTCCACGCGGACCTGCAGGGTACCTGCCCCCAGGCCTCCCGGTCAGCAGGGGGCAATGCCTCCGAGCCCAAAGCAGTGGCCTGCCAGGGCCGGGTGCCTGTACCGCCTCACCTGGGTTCCGGAGGCTCAGGTGGTACCAAAAGGTCAGGCAGGCGGGTTGGGCCAGCGGCCGGTGCTCCGCCGAAGTCAGGGAGGCCACGTGGCCGCTGGGCAGGGCCCCTGGGCTCGTGTCCACGATCATGTAGTGCCCTGGGTGAGGGTGCCAGCTGGAGCCTGCCGCCCGCCCCACCCGCCCTCCGCCCCACCCGCAGCCCCTCTGCCCAGCCAGGCCGCACCGTGAGCCGTGTCTGTGGTGTGGTCGGCCCCGGGGCCCCAGGCGGCGAGGCCCGTGGCGCTGGCCCGGCGCGCCCAGAGGTCCCCGGTGGAGAAGCTGCAGGCCGAGTCCTCGAAGGAGCAGCGCTCGGGGGCCCGGCAGGGCCCGGGCCGCAGGGCCACGTCGTCCAGCGCCATGGATCCCTGGAACCCGTCCCGCAGGCCCTGGAACAGCAGCTGGGGGCGGAGGGTGTCAGCGCCGGGCCTTGCCCTGCCCTCGCCCCAGGAGCTGCCCTCACCTGGTACTGGGCGCCCGGGTCCGGCTGGTGGTCGAGAGTGGCCCAGGCCTCGAGCCAGCGGTTGCCGTGGGTGCCAGACCGTGACCACAGGTGGGTGTCCTTCCCGTCCTGCCTCATCACCAGGCGCAGCGTCCCTGCGGGGCACGGGAGTGGCACGGGAGGGGACAGCCCCCCCCCAGCTCCCAGCTCCTCCAGAACCTGGCACCTGAGCCTCCAGCCCCACGTGGCGTGGCACTCACCGATCTGGGGCCCGTGGAGGTGGTACCAGAAGGACAGGCACTCCTGAGGGGCTGCCGGCGTCTGGGGCCGGGTGAGCAGGTGGGCACCAGGGCCCCGGGCCGGCGGGTCCGTGGGGTCCAGGAGCATGAAGTAGCCTGCGGGCAGGGGAGTGGACAGGCTGGGCGCACCCACTCCCAGAGGCTGCTCTCCAGCCCAGGCCTGGGCACTGCCCCCCGTCTGGGTGCCCCCACCTACCTTTGCCTGTGGTGTGGTCGTACCCAGGCCCGTGGCTCTCCCCCCGGTGCCAGTGGGCGTCGGTGAGGTGGCCCGTGTGCCAGCCGCACGTGTGCCGCTCGAAGTTACAGGAAACCTCTGGGGGGGCGGGGGGTCAGCACCCCCCTGGCACCCCCGTTTCCCTCCCGAGACCGGGGAAGCTGGGAGGCGTGCCCTTGGGGTGGGTCTCTGGGGTCCCTAAGGTGGTCTGGGTGGAGGAGGGGGACAGGACCTGTGTCTGTCTTGGTGGCTAGGGCGGGGCTGCAGTCCTTAAGGGTCACACTGTCCACCCCAGCGGCCTGCTGGCCAGGGCCTTCCCAGTCCACGAGGCCAACAAACTCCAGCTTCATGGGCACGAGGGAGGCTGTTAGGTCCAGGCAGCTCCGGGCCCCGCCACCCAGCTGCCCCCCCACCTGGCTGACCCCCCCCAACCTCGCTGCCCCTCCACCTGGCTGCCCCCACACACACCCGGCTGCCCCCACACACACCTGGCTGCCCCCCACCCGGCTGCCCCCCCCGGATACCCCCCTACCTAACTACCCCCCCTGGCTGCCCCCCACCCGGCTGCCCCCCCACCTAACTACCCCCCCTGGCTGCCCCCCACCCGGCTGCCCCCCACCTGGAAAGGCCGGCGGCGTTGCCCCAGGGGGACTGTGTCCCACTTCCAGGCGTTGGGGCTGCTCTGGGCCTCCCACACCAGCTCCCGGGCACCGCCCTCCACCACCAACAGCGCCAAGAAGCCTGGCCAAGGGGCAGCAGGGTCAGCTGCCCGCCCCCTCCTGCAGGGCCCACCTCCCAGCTCCGCCCCAGGCGGGGAGCAGGACCTTGGGGGTGGCTCTGAAGGAAGTACGCCATGTGGAGTGCGCAGTGGGGGCCGGAGGGGCCCAGGGGGGGCGTGAGGGCCCTGGCCGCTGCCGTCCAATGTCCCCAGGCCCCCTGCAGGGACAGGAAGTGCCCTAAGGGAGAGTGAGGCATTAGAGGGACACCTTCCAGGGACCCCAGCCCTGGAGCCCCAGCAGAGGCAGAGCAGGGGCCCTGTGGTACAGTTCCAGGGCAGAGGCTCCGGGCTGCCGGGGGTGTGTGTGTGTGTGGGGGGGGTGTTCCTCACCAGCTGCAGCCCCGCTGGCGTCCGTGCCGGGGCCCCTGCCCTCCTCCGCCCGGAGGCGCCCCCACTGCAGCCGCCCCGCGCTGGCGTCCTCCCAGCCCCCGGCGGCGGGGGGCTCAAAGTCTGTGGAGCCTGTGACAGCGGGCGCTGAGTGCCCTGGGCGCCCCTGGCCGGGAGGGCCCAGAGGGGGCGCCCCGCCCCCCCCCCCCCTCCGCTCACCGCACTCCTGCTCGTCCTCGCCGCCCTCGCACTGCGGCTGGAAGTCACACAGCTGCTCCGGGGGCACACACCGGGCCCCACAGAGGAGGTGTCCCGGCTCACAG